ATGACAACAGATTAATATTTTTTTAAACTTTTTGGGGTTAAATCTTTCAATCAACTTCAGTCCTGATCAAAAATACTAAATGTTAAATTATGTTCAGGATTTTAACCCTTGAACTGCCAGTTTGAAAACATACATTTGCGTTTTCTATGAAAAACATGCAAAAAAGGCAGTTATTTTCCATATAATGAATGTTGGGGGGGTTGGCTTTTTTTTTTATCACAGTCTTGGATATGTCAAAGATTAGCAACAACATTTATTTTTGGTGGATTGTTAGTTTTTGCACAGAATCAGATTAAACAAAAAACTCACACATTAGCCACTCGTGTCCCATCCACTCCCATTATAACCACATATTTTGATCTCTCCGCCATACCGGTATAAAATCATGCATTTTGTAATGTCAGGGTTTTATATTGGAGGAAAATAGTTCAATTTGTCCTTTTTATTCTATATCACAAGATGTGACATTTTACCATTGAATTACATGCTTGTCATTTCTTGGTTTCTTTGCCTGTTGTATAATGGGGCCCTGACAGCCATTGGAATACATGTATGCAACTAATATGATGTAGGTGTGTTGGTATGGATGTGGAAGAGTGGTATCAGCAGAGAAGTGTGTGTGTGTGTATGTATTCCAATGGCTGTCAGGGCCCCATTATACAACAGGCAAATAAACCAATAAATGACAAGCATGTAATTCAATGGTAAAATGTCACATCTGGTGATATAGAATAAAAAGGACAAATTGAACTATTTTCCTCCAATATAAAACCCTGACATCACAAAATGCATGATTTTATACCGGTATGGCGGAGAGATCAAAAGATGTGGTTATAATGGGAGTGGATGGGACACGAGTGGCTAATGTAACTTTTTTGTTCAATCTGATTTTGTGCAAAAACTAATAATGCAAAAAAAATCGATTTGGCTGCTAATCTTTGACATATCCAATACTGTTATAAAAAAAAAAGAGCCAGTCCCCAGATATGTATTTTTTGGAAAATAACTAATTTTCTCTGTTTTCATCAGGGAAAAAAACAGCGGTTCCATGTATTCAAAATTGCATTTAAAGGGTTAAAATCCTGAAAATGATTACGTTTTTGGTATTTTCTATTAGGGCGGAAGTTGCTTTAAAGACTGAACGCAAAAAAGTTGTGAAAAAAACCTTTTAATATAATGTCTTTTGCAGTGGACATTTTCGTCTCGAATGACTAATTTGCGTAGTCGATTTGTTACACAGTGAATTAAAGACCGATTTGAAAAATTGAAATTGGAATTCAAAAATAGATCGAGAAAATAGCCTTGTTACAAAAAATCAGGCCATTTGCACCAACAGAACCAAAGTTATTGCAAAATGAAAAGTGAAAAATGACCCATATGGACAAAAACGTCCACAGTGATACCGGAGGGTTAAACACAACGTCCATCCTCCTGTCCTTTTGGATGAAGCACTTGCGGGTCATGCACCTGATCCTTTGCCACTCCAGTTTATCATTGTAACTCAATCTTGAAAATGACTCGGTTAATAATTTCGCAACGATGTCATCACTATCACTGAAGTGAGCCATCATGAACAAACTTATGCTAATCATAAATCTATCGATCATAAATCTATCGATTAGATTTATGATTCGGAAATTATAAAAGTAGGGTAGACATGTGGATATTATCCAGCTGAACAAAACGTGCATTTATCTAACAGGTTCGTTCCACTGACCTTATTTCCCGCTATTTTCCAAAATCCTAAGTCGAAATTCCATTGCTTTTTTGACGAGGGAACCCGAGCGCAGCTTACTTCCGGGTTTTAGGACGCTTCACTGCACCACTTTATACACATGTATAAACCTCACAGCGGGCGGAACTTGTCATAAAGTATGCGAAAATAAAGCCAACCCATTTAGAGGGAAGATATGATTGGTCAATTGTACTGTCATTTGACATTACTCTCTCGTTGAGTTACTATAGCGGGCCCTCTGTGAATTTACAGCAGGACCACCAATCAGGCGACTGATTGGTGGTCAGTAACTCGCAGAGACGGCTAAAGCAGCTTCTTTAACCCTTCACATTCAAACAGAAACTGAACAGGCAGATTCAAAGGATTTATTTATTTGGACATTTTATTTTAAATACAATTAAATCAAGTCATTTTGGTAAAACTAATGAAAAAAATTAATATTTTTTAATGTTTTCAAATATTATTTTTTAGAATTTCTTAGGCCCTCAGAGGGGCCCTGACATCTCGCCACTGCAATGTATATACAAATGACTCATCGAGGAAGATGTCAAAAACCTTCCAGGGGTGGCCAAACAGTAATAACGTGGGCATCAGGCAGAACCATGGCAACAGCAATGATTAATGATCCAGGCATTACATTTGCACTGGCATACTGCCATGTGAGAGAAAACTCCAGGCATTAGGCCCCAGATTCTAAAGGGTGATAGTCCCCAAACGGTCTCAGGGAGCGTTTGTAAATAGTCACTCCGAATCATTCACAAACTGGACCATTTGTAAATATTGAGTGCTGTTGGAACGTACCATTCAGAGCGGCACTGTGAAAGCTACTTTTTTGCTAAACCATTCATGACTTACAATATACCTATAGGAAAATGCTCATTTGTTAGTTCATGTAGAAATGGAGCGCTCTGTTTCTTCAAACAACAATGCTCTAAATGTAGTTTCAAGTGTCAGTTTGAAAAAAACAAAACACTATAGACCTATGACAACAAACCCACCCTAAGCCTATAGCAGCACAGCAAGGGGCTGCTTACAGGCAGGCCTGAGCCAGCTCTCTCTCTCAAAGCTTTTGAAAATCAGTCGACATTTTATCAGATTCTTTAGTGAGTGTTGGCCACAGTGATGCAGAACCTTCGGTGTCATTATCAGTCATCGTCCGTGGCACCAGAGTGTAACCACTTCCTCAAAGCTATTATGGTCCCTCTTGAAATAAGACTACAAATTGTGAGTTTTACTGATGAACATCCACTGTTCGCCCACAGGGAACCGGCTCCGCTAGTTTCGATGAGTTCGGTAACTCCAAGTACCAGAACCGGCGGACCATGAGCAGCTCGGACCGGGCCATGCTCAACGCCTTCAAAGAGATCACCACCATGGCCGACCGCATCAACCTGCCAAGGAACATCATAGTAAGTTCCAACCTAACTCTGAGTCTCTAATGTGCTGAAGCAGGTGTGGTTAACCAGTCGAATACAACAAGCTGCTCCACTTTAAGGAGCCATGTCACACTAAACGCACGAGAGACAGCAAAGAGAAAGGAAAACCACGCACGTGTGGGCAAGAGAACAATAGAAATGAAACTGGACTATATATATGCTTATTATGTAACCATGTCATTATTTGGAAAAGGAAACTAAACAGCAGAAGTTTGAACGAGTGGGTTGAGTATCCCTTGGTGTCTCCTGAATAAAGAGGCTGTACAACGTGTGCAGTTCTGTTCTAATTAAATGAAATGAATTCCATTGAAATATAGTGGAGATGTAACTAGCGGAGGCAAAGGTTAGCCTTATTTGTACTTGGTCATCATGACTCATTTTCTAATAGTTAAACATCAGGATAAGATAGTGTTCTATTTATTTGACATAGATGGTCATCATTAGCTTTTCAGAAACACTTTATTTTGAGTTTGAAGATAAACACTACTTTGTGGCAATCTTTGTTTTTTGGAGCTCGTTGTCATTTCCTGTTTCACTTTATCTGAATGTCACAGTTCCCCTCACTCAGCCAACGAATTTGGTGACGCCCTTTTTTTCGGCCTGAAGAGAGGGATACTGCACACCCAGGCCGTTCTGATCCTTCCTCCACGTTATGTACATGTAGACATAATCTCAGCACATAACGTCAGTCGGAAACTCTTCCGGCACTTTAGATAATTTGTTTTGCTCTTGTAACATTTAGTAATAATGGTGATTTTGAGCTTTCCGAAACCTAGCTGGACAGTTAATATTAAAGGAGAATTTCCTTTCCAAAGTCATGTGCATCAAGGCAGATTTTAATTATATTTGTGTAAAGGTTTATGCTTATGCAAAAACAATAACAGCTTTTAATTGTTGTTTTTTATCAAAACCCGCTTCATACAAGTTTGTTTAACCTGGTATATATTGTTTTATTTCTATGTGGTTTGGAACTCTCAGGTTTCTGCCAATCAGTTTAAAAGTAGAGCCCTAATAAAGATGTAGCTTTTAAACATGTGATTGAAGTTTTGATTAAGAACATGCAGCTAATGTAAATGATGGGTTTGCCCTGCAGGACAGAACCAACAACCTGTTTAAGCAGGTCTATGAACAGAAGAGCCTGAAGGGCCGAGCCAACGATGCCATCGCCTCCGCCTGCCTCTACATCGCCTGCAGACAGGAAGGAGTACCAAGGACGTTCAAAGGTCAGGACAGGTTTACTCTCTCGTAAGAACCAAGCGTGGAGCTGCTCAGAGGAGGACGCCATTCATGTTTACATACCAGTGTTTCCCCTAGGATGGAGTCATAGCAGCGGTGCTAAGGCACGCGGGCCCAGCAAAATGTGAGCGCGGCGCGCGTGGACATTTTAAGTGTGTGCGCGTGCGAAGTGCTTCCCGCCATTATGTTTCTATTTGTCTGCCAGCACAAGAAAGACACATACATCATTAAAGGCTTCAAATGTATTCAGTATTGTATGAACATAATTGGTGGTTGGACATCACATCCTCTAGGGGGGTCCGGGGGTATGCCCCCCCGGGAAGATTTGTTTTTACATTTTAATATAAAATGCTTCAATCTGGTGCACTTTGAGCACACAATGACTAGAGACTAGATCTAACTCTAAACACCCATATGAAAAAGATCGTTTTACATTTTAATAATCAAATAATTGAACATACCAATAAACTACCATAGCCAATAACACATATGTAACTTATTTTATTTTTGTTGTTTTCATTTACATCACTTTCATCAGGCAATTTTTTAGTTTAATATCAGGTGTCAAAAGAGCATGGCACCTAGTAATGAATGTGCCAAATGTCTCCACTTCGTTCCACTGCCCCAGTGACTTGAATATCTTGGGTTCTGCCACCCTTCATGCAGATCTAGATCCCTCCGCTTCGCGTCGGGCTCCTGATCAGCCTGTCGGGTGTTCTTTTCCCCATAATGACCGCGTCGCTGCACATTATCCC